TCTCTCTCTCTCTATATATATATATATATATATATATATATATATATATATATATATATATATATATATATATATATATATATATATATATATATATATACGCATAGGCTTTTGAGAAGGATGATTAAACTTTACCCTATCCCTAATAATTATAACTGGAATTCGTACCTTACGATTTTGTTAATTGAATCTATTATGATTTACCCTCCCCGAACGCATTTACAATACTATGCCAGTGCTACACAAAAAAATGTACAACTCTAAACTTGTGAATCTAATTATAAATCTCATGCTAATGACAGAAAGAACATCGGTCACAACAATAATGCTAAAAACATCAACCTTTTAAAAATACGATAAACATTTTAATCAACCAATCGCCTGTATAAAAAACATCTAACAAGTTTAAACAGTAAATAGTTTGTTGTACCTTGGCCATACAATGGTACCAGCATGTTACATTTTTTCACTTTCTTCAGTGTGAGTACCCATTAGCTGGACCTGATGGCTTACGTATCAGTGCGTGTTGGTGTTTGTACGCCGTCTGTTCGATCAGCCAGGCTTGCCACGGCTATCACGTGACCTGGAACAGTCGACCATTCTGTCCGGGGGGCACAGGGGCCCTCCGTTGTTTTCTCTGGTGATCGCAGAACGTGCCTAGATGCCAGTCGTGTGACACAAGTAGACTGGCTGAACGAAATTGTCGGGGAGGACATGACACAAGTAGGCTGGCTGAAAGAAATGGTCGGATAGGACAATGTCCTCGGCCGACAAAGAGTTGGTGTTGGGCCTAATACTAGTTTATAGTAAAAGTATATGTCTAATATTAGTGAAAGTCTTTAAGTATACGTCTAATATAAGCCTATAGGACCATGTCCTAGCCCGACCACGTTAAGACCGTTGGGTAAACTTCATCAAACAACCAAGTACGTCTTACAATCTAAACAATCAGGTTTTTCTCTTAGTGGTCCACATGGAATCTTCCCTTTTTATTCCAAACATGGGCACTTTTCTTCTCTACAGACTCGAGAGGTGTTGGAGTCAGGACAGAGTCAAGAAACGCTCCTGAATAAAGCGGGACGGATTCAATTTTTTTTTTAAAAATACGATGTACATAATATACGCCATACAAAACATTTATAACCAACTTCATTTACAGCATATTCATCATAATAATATACATTCGATACATACATATACAAGTGTACATTTTTGAGTCCGCTTAAATAAGGCCTTGGGTTCACCCTCCCCTTTTATGATGTAGATAGCACTTCTCCGTGATATGCGTGCTATGTTGATACATTGTATTATATATATATATATATATATATATATATATATATATATATATATATATATATATATATATATATACGAGCACGTATGTGTTTGTGTGTGTCCTTGTGTGTTGTTTACAAACATGGATGTTATGTTGCCCTAAATGGAACTCAGCCAATATAAGGAAACATATTTTCTCATCGGGAATTCCCACAGCGAGATAGATTTGTCCTGGACAATATCACTGTGGGATGACCCGTCTAGACTAGCGTCTTCAAGACACGTCTCGTGCACCGCGATCGTTAGAGACAGCCGCCTTGGATAGAACTGAATCACTGTCTGGTGTCTTATCAAACTAAACACGGAATCCCTCCCTAAATTCAGTTCATTTGTGTCGATAGTTAAAATTAAACGACTCTTAACATGTGTACCTATTTGGTCGGGGAAAAGAAATATGGTATTTTCAGGCCTATACATAACCCCCCCCCCCCCCCATCCAATTTTTTAAGTTTTAAAATAGAATTAGGATACACTCGCACTAAATTGACGACATCCTGCGTATAAGATGACCACTGACTTGAAATTCCTGGCTATAATAGTTGTATATAATAAGCGTCACGGGGCGGGAGTGGATTGTGTGTGTGTGTGTGTGAGGGGGGGGGGGTGACACCCATTTGATAAAAAGTAAACTAACTTTCAAAACAATGTTTAATCACGTAATTTTTTTTTAAGTAGTGGGGGAGAGGGGTGACATCAAACCAAAAGTGAACAATTGTTGGAGAGGGATGGGGTAACATACCTGACATAGTCGAGATACAGGATTTTGATAAATAATGCTTTTCTATAATAGGGTCTGGTGTCAGTGTCAAGCTAGTTATTAGAAGGTTCACTTTTTAGCTGTACCTTTAACTTGTGTGTGTATTGATCCGAAAATATCAAGATAGGTCAAATCCAAACTTAATATTCTTGCAATAACTCATCCAAGGATATATGTAATAAAATTTCTGTAATAAGGAATGTAAGACTTTGACTTTCTGTAATAAGGAATGTAAGACTTTGGCTTTCTGTAATAAGGAATGTAAGACTTTGGCTTTCTGTAATAAGGAATGTAAGACTTTGGCTTTTTGTAATAGGGAATGTAAGACTTTGGCTTTCTGTAATATGGAATGTAAGACTTTGGCTTTCTGTAATAGGGAATGTAAGACTTTAGCTTTCTGTAATAGGGAATGTAAGACTTTGGCTTTCTGTTATAAGGAATGTAAGACTTTGGCTTTCTGTAATAAGGAATGTAAGACTTTGGCTTTCTGTAATAAGGAATGTAAGACTTTAGCTTTCTGTAATAAGGAATGTAAGATTTTGGCTTTCTGTAATAAGGAATGTAAGACTTTTGAATGCTGAATCAAGCAACTATCATGCCGCTAGCTTCATACCTAAACAAATTATATCAACCCTCAAAAAAATAGAAACGTTATGTTTCATTATTTCTCTATTTTTCTCCGAGTGGTAAATTTATTTTATGGCTACAACACGTCTAACGACACAACACACGTGTTTTATTTTCAACACAGTTGGATGTGTTGTGCACAGTGCGAATATAAATGATGAGCTAATGGATAATTGACTGATGTAATCGCTGGTGTATTTTGTCCCCCAGAACTTCTATCGGCATCTACCGACACAGTTTGGATGCCGTCAATTTGTTAACAGGTCCTTGTCCCCCCGTCAAGCGGCCCGTACCGCCGCAACTTCATTCAGTCAAGATCGCTCTTGATGGTCTATACAACTTGAGCCCAAGTGAGCTAGCTCAACAGGTATAATATACCTGTTCTAGCTCAAATTGGCTCCGGGGATTTCATCGTCAGCGATGTGGGTTCGGCGTAACTGCCGTTCGTATGCTACAATAGCCGGTTATATACCTGATCTCAAAGCCCCTTTCCGCGGTCCATTATCCTTGTTCATCCAACGTAGCAGGCGATTAGCGAAATGTACTCTTCTTATTTCTATTCATGTTTTAAAAAAACAGACCGATCTTTTGGGTTAAATACGGCAGAAATAGGCACGCTGTAGAGGGGGACATTGACAAAAGAAGCACGTAAACGGCTTATTGGGTTAGTCCCGGGTTTGTCAAGGGAAAAGGTAAATGTTTAAATACTTTATGCTTAGGACTATATACTTTCTACATAGGTCTAAATACTTTCTACATAGGTCTAAAGACTTTCTACATAGGTCTAAAGACTTTCTGCTTAGGACTATATACTTTCTGCTTTGGTCTGAAGACTTTCTGCTTAGGTCTGAAGACTTTCTACATAGGTCTAAAGACTTTCTACATAGGTCTAAAGACTTTCTGCTTAGGTCTAAAGAGTTTCTACATAGGTCTAAATACTTTCTACATAGGTCTAAAGACTTTCTGCTTAGGTCTAAATACTTTCTGCTTAGGACTAAATACTTTCTGCTTAGGACTAAATACTTTCTGCTTAGGACTAAATACTTTCTGCTTAGGACTAAATACTTTCTGCTTAGGACTAAATACTTTCTACTTAGGTCTAAATACTTTCTGCTTAAGACTAAATACTTTCTGCTTAGGACTAAATACTTTCTGCTTAGGACTAAATACTTTCTGCTTAGGACTAAATACTTTCTACTTAGGTCTAAATACTTTCTGCTTAGGTCTGAAGACTTTCTTCTTAGGTCTAAAAAAAATATTCTACTTAGGTCTAAATACTTTCTGCGTAGGTCTAAAAGAAATTCTGCTTAGGTCTGGAGACTTTCTACATACGTCTAAATACTTTCTGCTTATGTCTAAAAAAAATCTGCTTAGGTCTAAAATCTGCTTATCTGTGTAAAAAGAATTCTGTTTATGTCTTTCTTTAGTAAGTTGGTAGACAAAATTTTGAGCTCACTAGTGTACCCTGTATAGCAAAGCAGCACGAGCTAATGTGTATGTCGGTGCAGGTATTTTAAAGTCAACGGTGGAAATTAGATCTTACCAATGTGTCCTTAAGCTAACACGGACGACTGAACGCATTAAAATATAGCATTAATGTTTGGGCGATTAAACAAACTACATATATATTAATATCTTTCAATGTTTAAGACACTAAAATATAAGACTTTGAAATTAGAGACGCTTAAATCTAACATAAGACCGGCACACTATCAGGCTATTATAAGATGACGTGTCGGCGACGTATAAAAAGACGTTTGTCTGGACGTGTGTAGTGACGTTTGTCTGACGTGTGTAGTGACGTTTGTCTGGACGTGTGTAGTGACGTTTGTCTGGACGTGTGTTACTAATCGTGTGTAGTGACGTTTGTCCTTGCGGTTGATCTCTAATTTAGGTCGATATGTTTTTCTTACTTGCAGTTTTCTGGTCAGAGCGCGCTTGTTTTAATCATTTTATATTATTTGACATTTTATTTTATGATATAAAAAACTCACACTCATTATAAAATATTTATTGAATTTTTAACTGACGTTTCGCATATTAAACTGAACATTAAGTTTGAAACATTTTAATAAATCTAGCTAGGTTAGCTAGCCTTGTACACAGTTTTATAAACTTGTTTTTAAATTAATTTTTGCTTAATTAAATTGTTAGTCATTGATTTATGAGCTAATAAAACTTACTTCATTTTTATGTTGTATTTTATTATTGTCAACCATAATCGCTCACTACAGTAGGCCCGCAGAATATGTTTCAAGAGGGGAAAAAAATTACTTACCATAGCTAGAAGTGACCCACACCATTAAGACTTGGCTCAACAGGTAAATCCTCTGTGTCCAGCAAACCTCCATTGTAGCTCCCCTTAGGTCAACACCTACTGGTCAGCACTCAACGATCCTGTGCTCACCTACACCTGGGTTCCAGACAACTCAGGTGGTCAGCCATCCGTGAAGCAGACACCATCCTGGTCTGGCGTATAACGCAGAAATAATCATCCAGGCACTAATTAATTATAAAGTCGTAAGACGACCACGCCAATGAACGTTTTCATCTACCTTACTCAGCTCATTGATGAAATAAACTACACCACGCTTGATCACACACACGCACCGATGTTTACCCCGTCGGGTCGAGAGGTAAACAGAAACATAAACCTCAAATATTTATAAATAAATAGATCACTGGTCCGTATACGAATCACAACAGCAACCCTTTCCTCCGCCTTCAGGTGAAAGACACGGACACTTCCCCTTTTTTTCTCAAACAAAAACACTCACTGCGGTAATCGCTGGCCTGTTTACATCCACTCACGCTCAAGTAATGCGCCCTAGCCTCGCGACCTCCCCGCAACTACAAACTTTTAACGCCAGCCCCCGTCTACCTTCTTCGCGGTGTATTTTTTTTCAACCCCCACTCACAGAAGAGCGACGCCGCGACGGTTGGACCGCCGTCCGCCGTCGTCGCTAGCGAGCGGGGAGATCACTCGGGGGTAGGGGCCGGTGACTCGTGGCGCTAGCAAAAAAAAATTTTAAGGTTCTTTTTTCAACGCACCATTTCCCCCTCCCCATTTTTTTCATTATGAATAGCGTACTTGAATCCACCTTGTTTCATTTGTGTGTCTGGGTGTCGCCTGGAAAATTGTCTTCATCCGTCACGGTGTGGTTCCACACGTTAACCAGACGGCTGAAGGAGCGGCCCGTACAATCCCGACAACTACTGGCGTTTGCCACCGGTAAGGGAACAACAACACTTGGGCTAAGGGGGAAATTGGCCAGATAAATTTTAAGTAATTCAAATCAACTAGCAAGAGATTTATGGGAACTTATGCAACAATAAAAAAAAAAGTTACAGAATAACGAACTATTATTTTAGAAAATAAAAACTAATGAAATGCACGAGAGGGTAAAAAGTTACGAAGGGATCGTGTTACTGACATAAAGATACACAAAGAAAAGATCCACAAAGAAAAGATCCACAGAGATGAAGCTATTAAGATATAAAGGTAGGCCTACTTAGAGATATTTACAAAGAAAAAAGTTATAGGAAAAGATCTAGAGAGAAAATGCTGTAAAGCAGAAATTTACTGATATATGAAATTAAAAAGAGCAAAATGTACTAAAAGAAAAAGTCACAGCAAGAGAAAATAAACCGGGAGTGATCTCCCCTAAACTTTCTCGAATATTCTTATATAAAACAACAGGGGATGGGAACTCGGGATATAGTTATGATTTTTAATCAATTTTAAATACATAAACTTTTTAAAATAAAATAGAATCTCATAGAAAAAAGTATTGCACACCAAGCGAACGCCGAATAAAGATGTTCATAATGGTGCGCAATATTATTAGTACTTTATAAATTTAGATGCGTTTTTGAGAAATCGGAAATAGCGTAAATTAGTACTTCCCGTCAACGGAAATTACTCAAAATTTAACAGAAGGTAGAGAATTAGATCGTGTACTTACATGTGAAATTTCATTTATCTATCTGAAATAGTACTCAAGTTATAGGCTTTTGAAAAATTCAAAGTAGGAAAATTACCACTTCCGGTTATCGGAAATCGCTTAAAAGTTGATACGGATCTACGATTTTGATAAAATACTTATATATGAAATTTCATCAACCTAGCTGTAACGGTACTCAAGTTATCGTGTTTACACACGGACACACAGACAGACAGACAGACAGACACACAGACAGACACACAGACATACGGACAAGATTGCAAAATTATGTTTTTCCGTATCAGTGAGGTGTAAAACGTCGAGATTTGTAAAAATCTCGATTTTTTTTTTTTTTGCACGATTACAATACTTTCTCTATACTACGTATATACGAGAAAGTAAAAAGTTACAGAAAAAAAAAGTTACTGAGGGTAAATGTTACATAGAGAAATTTATAATCTAGAAAGAGGGCTCAATTGTATTAGCACAACTAATGCAGAAATTATGCAATCCTCCATGCCAAATAGATCGAATGTCTGGAAGCTTTGGCGTCTGCTCAACCTGTGATGGCAGTGGTCTCTAGATCTGCAAGGTCAAGTCTGGCAGACCAGCATCAAACGTGAGTACTGTACGTAAATACTGTACTTATGCAGATTTGGCAGTTTAAAGTGATATTAATGAGTTCTCAATTATTTATGTTTGATTTTTACAATTCCTAGATTCTAATAAACCGGGAGTGATCTCCCCTAAACTTTCTCGAATATTCTTATATAAAATAACAGGGGATGGGAACTCGGGCTATAGACATGATTTTTAATCCATTTTAAATACTTAAAGTTTTAAAAATAGAATAAAATCTCGTAGACAAATTAATTGCACACCAAGTGAACGCCCAATAAAAAAGCGCATAATAGTGCGCAATATTATTAGTACTTTTAAAATTTACATTAGTTTTTTGAGAAATCGGAAGTAGCGTAAATTACTACTTCCAGTCAACGGAAATTACTCAAAATTTACCAGAAGGTAGAGAATTAGATCTTTTACTTACATGTGAAATTTCATTTATCTATCTGAAATAGTACTCAAGTTATAGGCTTTTGAAAAATTCAAAGTAGGAAAAGTACCACTTCCGGTTATCGGAAATCGCTCAAAAGTTGATACGGATCTACGATTTTGATATAATACTTATATATGAAATTTCATTAACCTAGCTGTAACGGTACTCAAGTTATCGTGTTTACACACGGACACACAGACAGACACACACACACACACACACACAGACATACGGACAAGATTGCAAAATTATGTTTTTCCGTATCAGTGAGGTGTAAAACGTCGAGATTTGTAAAAATCTCGATTTTTTTTTTTTGCACGATTACAATACTTTCTCTATAGGCCTACTACGTATATACGAGAAAGTAAAAAGGACAAAATAAAACGAATATACGCACCTTTATAACAAGCGTTTAAAGACACTAAGAATGTATTAATTAAAGGTTAATTTTCTTTTGTTTTAGAACCTAAATTTTTACACCCAAATTTTATGTATGTTTTGCTTAGGACTATACCATCTGTACAGTGGCGTAGGCAGGGGGGGGGGGGGGGTTAGGGGGGTCATAACCCCTCCCCCATATACCCCTTGGTATATATATAAAGTCTGAGGGGGGTGCAAATCGAAAGTTTGAGGGGGGGGATGCAAATCGAAAGTTTGAGGGGGGGGGTGCAAATAAAAAGTCTGAGGGGTGGTGGTGCAAATCGAAAATTTGTCCCCGGGTAAAAATTGTAAACCCCCCCCCCCCCTTGAGACGATCCTGGCTACGCCACTGCATCTGTATCATTTTATTTTCGTTTAAAATAACTTATCATTACGTAGTTAAACGTAAACAACACTTGCCATTCCAATTACACAATACACATGCTAAGAATAAGGCTGCAACAATGTAAGAAATGTTCATAAATGATTTATTCATGTTACGTTTATAAGATGACACCGCTGGTGATAAATGGATGTGACATGTGTCATATTGCGGGTTTTTTTTTTTAACTTCCGTCAAAACAGGAAACTGGCAATTAAAAACGTGTAGACGTGGAAACCTGGCTATGTAGACAAATTAGCATCTAAGGTACTGCTAGACGCTCACTTGTATCGGTCCCCATAATGTAGGCGTTAATCTAGGCATTAATGTAGGCATTAATGTAGGCATTAATGCAGGTATTGGTTACTTTGTATCAGAAGTCGGAAAGCGTTTAACCCATCTGCTTGAGATCATGAAAGGCAAACAGTATGTGAATAGTGCTTACCGTCGACACAGCGGGAAAATGGACTGTGTAGATTTTATTTTGTCAATTTCGAGTAATTTGATGTTGTTCTTAATGGTCAGTTTGTCTACAAAGAGTAATTTGATGTTGACCCTAAATCAAAATATCGCCTCTTTGAGTACGTGTTATATGTAGAGTAATCAGATAAAGAGCTCGTGTCAACAGTTTGAATGATGAAAAAGTTGAACATCTGAATATCAGCACGATATTTTCATTTCATGCAATTAATTATTGTTACATCACATTGCATGTTTTCATATTGTGTTATTAATAATAATATCCACGCACGCAACTAACCTCCCTTGTACGTTTAAAAATAACTAATTTATTCTAGACACGATTGTTGACGGAAAACCCCACCACCTCCCCCACCTCCCCTCCATTATGAGGGCTTTTAAAACGCGCAATTTGAATCAATTAAATATGCTATATCCATAAGCGCCACGGCGGTTTAGGGGAGGGGAGCGGGGGTGGGAGGTCTAGAGCAAGACACAGACCTCATTACAGGTATCGGGTTCCTGGCAGTGGTGCCAGCACCCCGTGATGCCGTCATGCTATAGTTGAGCGCTGCGGCAGGCCGGGTAATAGCGCAATCATCGGTCCAGAGGGGGAGACCCAGGACCGACACAGAATTGTAGAGACGTGAATACAACCGCACAGTCCTGCTGTCGGCACTACATTCAAGATGAACGCGGTGCACTTGATTCTATTATTTTCAAAAGGACAGCCGTGTTTTTTATTTTTTTATTTTGTTTACTTAATTTATTGCATCGTATTTTCACAAAGTTGTACACACATTGCTTAAGGTTTAAATGTTTAAAATGTATTGCTCTCCCTTTGATGTATTACATCCCTTGAAGTGTGGGAGAAGGTCAGCGTGTATTTGAGGCAATCTCTTTGTTCGCTTATGTTTTATTACCCAGTGGTTGCCATATAAATGGTTGGTAGAGGCAATTAGAGATATCGTCTACATCTCGGATCATGATGTCGGAGTTGGCGAAATGTGTGTGTGGGTAGGGGGGTTGTAAGGGGAGGGTGGTAATCGCTGAAAAAATGTATGAATAAAATGAGTCGCTAATGAAAGATTGTTTTTTTTTTAAAGCTATCGCCACAACACATGCAAACTGTCCATCGATTGTTATGACAACAGATATTGGAACACATGAAATATTTATAATCAGTGACAAGATGTTTAACATGAATTTCTGTAGTCAACAATGAAATATCGACTAGTACGAGCTGGTTAAGAGACCAAGGCGCTGTTCATCTTCTTGTAGGATGATCCTGAATTATATACAATCGGGTGCTTGAATGATATACAATAGGGTGCTTGAATGATATACAATAAGGTGCATGAATGATATACAATAGGGTGTTTGAATGATATACATTAGGATGCTTGAATTATAATCATTAGCGTGCTCCTAAATGGTATAGAATAGGGTGTTCCTCAAGATATATACAATAGTGCACTTCTGAATGGTTTACTATGGAAGGTCCCTGAGCATTAAGACATGCGAGTCTAAATTATACCCAATAGGAGCCGATGAATGTTGTACAATGTGGGACCCCTAGGGTTAGGTACCAACGGCCGAAAACTTTGCGAGTCCACGCCACCATCTGTAAATGTA